AAAGGAAACTACGCTCAATTTAAAAGCCTTTTGTAGGAAGACGGTGACGTAGTCTGTGCTAGTTTTCTTAAACCTATATGCATCAAGCATGTAATAAAAGACTTTTTGCTGAAGTAGTAAACGCCTTACTTTCTGTTGGTAGACCGCTTCACGAGAGAATAAATGAAGATAGTTCTGGTTACTTCTTATAAACATTTTAATGCTCCTATTCATGTACGATTCTTCGTATCACTGTTTGGTTGTTTTTTACGCTTATATTTGTATGTAACAGGATAAGACCCCTGGGAGTCTTTTGTCTTTACTTATTTGAAATAACAGGTGCTACACATATGCCTTGTTGGTTTAAGTAGACGACAGTAGTAACTATCCTCTCTCTCTTGCCTAATGGCTAGGAATTATTCGGACTAGCCTTTCAAATTAAAGAATCCTTTCGCAGTACGCTTACAGAAGCAAAAACATCATCATATTTCCATAACTTGCAAACATTTTGCTGTCGCATCCTGCGGTGCAACTTTGCACATCATCCTCGGACGAATTTACTCGCTGAATTTTAAATATTTTCGATGTCATTTTTTCGAGTAAAACGTGGGCGCTTTCACATATAAAAGTCTCTTATTTGCAGCAAATGTCTGGCACGACTTGTCACACATGTCTGGGGGGCTTGAAGACTACTCAACACTAAATCCTGAGGAGAAACCGAACTCGGCAAACGCACCCTACCCCTACGGAAGTCAAAACCGCGAAGATTCGGACTTTAGCTTTGCCAACCCACTTCGCCAAGATAGGACGGAAAATGACCCCATACTATCGTCCGCTTTTTACGGCGACTACGAAGTCCTGAAAGTGACGGACACCCCACAGGAGTCACGATTTCTGCAAGAAAAGCCCAAAGTACCTACAAAGAACAGGGCGGAATCGAAGAATCTCAAGGGCAGACGGCCCAATATGAGTACGCCGCCTTCAGTCACTACACCTCTGGGCGAAAAAACTGCATCCGCCCAAGCGAATGACTTTGCCTTTCCTTTTGGAATTAGTGGAGCTGGTGGTGGTTATAGCTATGAAGAACTTGACGATCCCTGGTTGATGCAACAACAGGCCTTCTCCGAGTTAAACGCCTGCTTCATGAACGAACCAACGCTTGTAATGGGGAAGCATCCGGCGTCTCAAACTGTGGGGCAGTCTACGCCGTCCACCAACGCAGACGCCAAAGAGACAATCATGGACATGGGTACGATGTTCTCGGAAAAGGATGATATACAACTTCGTGGCGTGCCGGGGCTGAACAATACCCCCGTGAACGATACAAAACCTGAGAAGCCGGTCGCTAGGCCGCCAGTTGTTCCCGGAAGCCTCTTACGATGTATTCAACGCGTAGTGCAGATGCGATGCCATGCCGCTGGACACAGTAACAATCTCATTGGTCGACAAGCCTGCGAAGTCATGTGCGAGGCTGTACGACAGAGGATGAGCCAGTTAATTGACTTTCTGCATGACTGTCGACAACCACTGGACTCCTGTACACAACGCTACAGTGTCTTCTTCCTGAACAGGGAGGCTTATGCTGGAAATCAGGTTACTGACTCTAAATACGGTCCCAAAAGCTATGGAAAAAAGTATCCGAAAAAAGCGGAAAGAAGTAGACCCATGGGACGGGAGACACAGCAACTGCAGCCTAAAATTCATTCAGGCACTTATTGTCTCGCATGTGGAAACGCGTAAGTACATTATTCACTTATGGCTTTTTTTGCTTGGGCCAATATGCCTTATGCGTTCTTAATTCTTTGCGGTTTTCAATTGGGAGTTAAACTAGGATTTATTGTACCCTTCACATTTGGAGGTATATTAGCGGACTCTACTCGTCTGGATTACACTCTTGCGTTTTTATCCTTTCATGTACACGTCTCATTATTCATTTTTGTGGACAAATTTTGGTTAGGGAAATGAGAACATAGACAATATTACGGTCAAGATCGTTTACCACCTTGACTTCTTCAGCGATTTGGAAGACAAAATGTTGTGCTGAGTTGCACTTGCTGATTTTATAAATAGAACCAAGGATGAATATTCGTGGTGTGGGCATCTCCGTTTCTCTCCTTCACCTTTCTTCATTCTAATAATATTTGAACCGGTGCAGTTAATATTTCCCGTGAAGTATCTGGGATTTTAGATTATCTGCTCTACTAAAATTAATAATAATTGTCGTCCCTCCCCTCAAACTTTTTCCTATCTCACTTACAGAAGATTGCATATCTGATGCAAGGTTGGGGATAGGAGGATTTAACGCA